TTTTATTCAAGTTTTTCAATATATTCAAATTTACTAAGTCTATGCTCAATAAGAATTCAGATATACGAACTATAGAAATTTGTTTATATGTTCAAGTATTGAAGTTTGAAATCTAGTTTATCAATTTGACTAGATTAAGAAAGAACTCGAACATTCTAAGTTAAGCCATAAGAATGAGATTCAAGTTAAGATATGATTATAAAGATTGACGATGTGTTTAAGCCAAGTATAAGTAGTAACGGTATTTCAGTTTATAATAGCCAAAAAGTACGAGGAACATCATGGGGGTTTGAAATAAGAACCAAAAAGCCGGATCATATCCTGTAGGCTTGAAAACTGAATCGTAAGAAATGAAGTTTCAAGAGAATAGTCAATTTTTATAAATCAGAAGTTTTGATATATTATCAGTTATATATCATGAGTTAAAAAGTGGCAAAGTTTAAGATCAAGTTATAAGTTATTTTGTATTAATACTTGTTAGTGACAGTACAAGTATACAAAATATTTTGAGAAATCAATGACTATAAGTTAAGGTATCGACATATAATAGTCACATACGCTGGGTAAATTATGGAAACCTGAAATAAGGGTTATTAAGTCCGAATTACCTGGAGACTTGAAATCGAACCTTAAAAGATATAAGTATCACAATCCAGATACGAGATGATTATATAAAATTCTAGAAAGAATTTTTGGAAGTTAAGAAAGAATAATCTGGATATGTGAAAGTTAAAGACAGTCTTTTTATTAAAGCAAAGACTAATATGTTTTAATGTATTGAGAGCAAGTATTTATTCTCAATAAGAAGTGATGAGTTTAAAGCCATAAGTGAGAAATGGCGAGAAGAAGCAAGTAAGAAAAAGATTAAACCGGAACTCTAGCACAAGCTAGGTGTTTTCGGTATATTAATAAATTCTCAAGTTTAGTATAACTATTTATTAATGGTTATACTGTTCAAGTTAAATGATTAGTGGTTATCAGAATGCTGCGAAGCAGAGTTTTAAAAACCATAATCGAGTAAAGTTTAGAAATTTTGATTGAATAAAGAGTTTTCAGTCAAAGAGTATTGATATGTGAATCAAGCATATATCAGAAGAAGAATAAGATTTTGAGAAATCAATATACTGGAAAGATAGTATCATTGAAAGCAAAGAGATAGACAAAGATGCAAGCACACTGTTGAGGATTTTATTATTTCTAAGAGATATTACAGAAATAATAGAAAATGGAGATACAGACAAGTAAAAGAGAATCCTCAACAAATACAAAGTTATATTACATAAAGGGAGGGTGCGTCTCAAGAGCACAATACTCCATAACTCTGCCACCCAGTATGGCTGTAGTTTCACAAAGATAAATCTAAAGGATCAAATGCTCGCTTGCGTTTGTATCTTGGAGTTTCCACAGAATCTTGAACTGTTGAGATGCTGTCTTGAAGCTTCTTGATAAGTTCAGCGGATGTATTAGCAAACTTGAATATTTCTCTTTGTAAAGGAGAGATAAAAGTTTGATATACGCCTTCATCTAGATATCCAAGTAAGTTGTGGAAAAAGTTATTGAAATTCAACAAACCAATAGGTTT